ATAAAGTCTGTTCCAACATTTGCAGTCCCTTTGATAGCTTCAATGTGGAACTTGTAGTTCTGAAGGTACAATGTTCACCTCATGATCCTCGCACTGTTGATCTTGCACCTCTGAATGTATGCAAGTGGTTGATGGTCTGTCTAGATGATGAACGGTTTCCCATATAGATAGTTCTGGAACTTCTAAATGGCAAATATGATGGCCAGACACTCTTGTTCAATCACGGAGTAGTTCTTCTCAGTATTTAACAGTTTTTTACTTATATATATGTTACTAAAAACACTCCATCTTCATGTTCTTGTAAGAGTATTGCCCCAATTCCAATGTCTGAAGCATCAGCCTGAACAATGAATGGTTTGTTGAAGTCTGGCATTCTAAGAATTGGTGAGCTTCCCAACATGTTCTTTAATTTCCGGAATGCCACCTGGTATGGTTGTTCCCACTTCATCTTGTTGGTCAAGCCTTTCTTGGTCAGGTCAGTCAATGGTGCAGTAATTTCAGCATAGTTTGGGATGAATTTCCTGTAGGATCCCGCTAATCCCAGGAAGGATCTGATTTGCTGCTTGGTCATCAGAGCTGGTGTATATTGTATGCAGGTTATCTTTTCCTTTTCCATGGCTATCTATCGGTCCCCAACTTTATGTAGAAAAAACTCCAGCACAGAATATCCGATGTAGCACTTGGATTGTTTGATGGTGAGGCCTGCTGTCCTCAATCGCTGGAACAGTTGTCTAAATCTTGTCAGATGGTCTTTCCATCTTGCAGTGTGTATCAGAATTTCATCCACATAGTGCTCTATGTTGGTGTTATTGTGCAGCATCCTCCTCATCATTCAGTTGAATGGTGCTACTGATTTGACTAACCCAAATGGCATCCACTTAAATTGGTAACATTCACCTTGTTGAGTACTTCCTGTACTTCAAAAGGTTTTTTCCATTGCAAGGTGAATTTGTTGTTGTCTGTGATCCTTGGCCTTTTTGTCATAAAAATGCTTCTGACTACCTTGAACTGCATACAAACTCTGTCAAGCAAGTTGACAGGTTTCCTCCAGTCGGTTTCTGAGGTCTAACACATACTGGTATGTGTTCCTTCACGCCGAACTTTTCTTTGACCTGTAACTTTACTCTTTTTTGCTATTATCTGTCTGCTGTTATCTGTCTACTTTTAACTCTTATCATAACAAAAACTAAACTAAAAACTAACATATGACAAAAATCAATTAATCAGTAATATCTAAACTGAATACTACTTTATATCAAGACAATGAATATATGATTTAAAATAACTTTCACTTATAATCATTTTATTTTTCAATTGAAAAACATATATTCTTTAGTCAGATTAACAATTTCCTATTGTTAGCAAACCATTTTAAATTTGAGACAACGATTGGTCACGATGTTTTTAGTAAGTTACATTCCAAATTTAATTAAACTACTTTTTGTTTATGTTATACCAATTAGTATTGCGTAAACTCCTAGCTAATAATCATTATATTAATGTTTTATAAGTTTTAAGCTCTTAATTTCATAAGGCAATATTTTAAAAAACCCTGATTTTTTTTCCTCTAGGCATTCCCTCTTCTCTAATTTGTTTACTATCCTTCCAAGAAGTACGAAATTTAACATAAATTACTCATCATAACGTTGTCACATTTAGCTAAAACATAATTTTCATAGCCTTCAATTCTGTTTGGTTACATAGCCATCAAACAGAAAATCAGACGCTTCTTGCCACATCCACCTGTCACATCCTTTCTTCAATTTGGCAATAGTTCCATCTGACGTTCAATACTATATTATTTATAAACAATAGAAGCCAAGGTTAAAATATTAAATAACACACAACGTTAAAATAGGTATACAATTAAAAAGATTTTATTATATTAACCTTAACTTAAATGTTTTTAATTGTTTACCTATTTTAACGTTGTTTATTATTTATTATTTTAACATTATACACACAAGTGTCAAGAAATAATATTCAAAGCCTAGGTTTCATCTATCAAATGACGTATTATATATATTACGTTGTTTTCTGTACAGAAAAGTGTTAATTTCTCTTTCAGTACAAACCTCGTTCCCGCGCAGTCAGAGTATTTAATAATGAATGCATATATTTGTAGATAAGCAAGTGTAGTAAATGTAACGAATTTGTTATTATATATTTATTTTAATCTCAACGTTTGTTTAGATTAAGTTTATATTTAAAAACATGCATAGCTTATAGTGTTAGATTAGTATTGCGAAACTCCCGCCTATTCTCCAAAGTTATAGAATGTAGCTCAGTATTGTTACGTAAAACTGAAATTTTTAGAAAGCCTCCCACGCCTATAAATATAACCAACGCGACGCGCCAGAAGTCTGGAGAGAGTATATATTATTGAAGTGCTACACTTGGTATACTATAAACCTCGGAAGCTATAATTGTGATTAACGCTTATTAATCGGGAACTTCAGGTATATTGACCAGGTACGTTTATAAATTTCGAACATTACAAATCATTCAACTTCAGTGGATTCACATCGGACATTAGTCTTTTACGAAAATGTTACCTAACATCACAGGTAGGAAAAATCGCCGAAGAATACAAAGCTAGCTACCTCCGTATTAAGTGAATTGTATCTACGTCAACTCGTAATTAAATTGTTCATCGTGAACCCTCGATAAGATATCGAAGAAGTTCCAGACTAGAAAGAAGATTGTATATTGCTTGTAAGTTTGTGAAACTTTTGTATATAAATCATTGTTTGTAATATATTGTAATATATGTATTGTTGCGTGTATATTAAAACGTATTTGTGTTAAAAAAGAAAACTGTGTGTATCAATTTTGTTGGCAAATATCATAAACTGACTATATATCGGCTTTTACTTAACTGCTAAATCTAAAGAACAATTTAACTACTAAATTTAAATTATCAGTTAACTCAATTTGAGGCTATTTGAAATTCTAATACGTAACATAAATAATTACCTTTGTTACTGTTTAATTTACGCGTTTACTGTCAACCAGAGTAGTTAATAGGTCACTTTGTTAATGATAAATATACCTGTTTTGTTGATGTTGTTGTTGTTGTCAGTAATTTATTTTAACAACAATAAAAGTATAATGAATGTACTCGTTTTTGTAAGATAAAGTAACTAACAATTTAATTTGCTAATGGACTTGATTTTGTGAACCAGAGAATTTAATAATTCTTTTGCTTATAAATATACTTACCTGTATTTTTTCTGTTTTTTTCTATTTGTTTTTGTAACATAGAGTATTTTTAATACACTTTGTTAATAACGAATGTACCCGATTTTTATGGCAGCGTATTAACAATTCAACTTAATAGTAATGAAAGTAACTGTTTTCTTAAGCCAAAGTAGTAAATAATTACTTTGTTTGTAATGAATGCGTATGTTATTTGTGAGATAGATTATTTAAGAATGAATGTACCCATTTTTTATCCAGTCATGATACTTAATTGTGAATACAATTTTTTGTAAGTCCGAGTATGTAATAATTCCTTTGTTGATAATAAACTTATGTTTTTTTGTGATCTAGAATATTTTAAACTCAATTTGTTAACAGGAAAGTACCTCTTTTTCATACCATAGTAGATTCAAATTAATATAACTGTTTCTGTAAGCCAGAGTAGCTAAAAATTTACTTTATTGGTAATGAATGTACATGTTTCGTTTTCTTTTTTTTAATCAGACAGAATAGTTATTAACTAGCTTTGTAAGCCAGGGTAGTTAGTAATGGACTTAACTGATTCTGTAACTCAGAGTAGCTACCAGTTCACATTGATGATAATGAAAGTGCTTGGTTTTTGTAATCGAGTGTATTCAATATTAAATGTACCTGATTTTTGAAGCAACAGTATTAATAATGAAAGTATGCCTGTTTTGTAATCCACTGTAATTAGTAATGGATATTCCTTTTTACTGTCAGTCAGGTTACTTAAAAATTCCCATCCTTAATAATGAATGTGATCGTTCTTGTAAGATAAAGTAGTAAACGACTGACTTTCTTAATAACAAATGTACTTGTTATTGTAAGCCAAAGTAGTTAATATTGAATATATAGGTTTTTGTAGTAGTGAATGTACATGGTTTTGGTAAACCAGAGTAGTTAACAATTACTCTTTTAGTAATGAATGTACCTGATTTTGTAAGGCAGAGTAGTTGATAATTTCCAATATTAGTAGTCCTTTTGTTCGTGATGAATGTACGTGTTCTATAAGCTAGTGTAGTTAATATTGAACGTCCTTCTTTTTTTGGAAGCCAGAGTATCGAATAATGAATTTATGTATTGTGTAAGCTGGAGTAGTTGCTAATATCAATGAATGTGTTTTTTGTAATCCAGACTAGTTAATACCGAATGTACCTTTCTTTTCTGAGCCAAAATTATTAATTGTGAACACAAATGTTTTTATAAACCCTAGTATTTAAAAATTCATTTTCTTTATGTGGATTGTATCACTTTTTGTAAGGTGAAGTATTTATCAATTCACTTTTCTGAGTGTAACTGATTCTGTAAGCCAGAGTATTTGTTTGTTTGTTTGTTTTTTAATTTCGCGCAAAGCTACACGAGGGCTATCTGCGCTAGCCGTCCCTAATTTAGCAGTGTAAGACTAGAGGGAAGGCAGCTACTCATCATCCCCCACCGCCAACTCTTGGGCTATTCTTTTACCAACGAATACTAGGATTGACCGTCACATTATAACGCCCCCACGGCTGAAAGGGCGAGCATGTTTGGTGGGACGGGGATTCGAACCCGCGACTCTCAAATTGCGAGTCGAGTGCCCTAACCACCTGGCCATGCCATGCCGCCAGAGTATTTAATGATGATTTTTTTTAAGCTTGAAGCCCTAGTAGTTAATAATAATATTACGTTTTTTCGTAAGCCACAGTAGGTAATAATGAAAGCAAATATTTTTGTAAGCTAATAATGAATGTATCTGTTTTTTGTAAACCGGAGTAGTGAATGATTAATTTTGTTGGTAATGAGTGTACATGTTTTGTGTGTGTGAGCTGGATTAGTTAATAATGAATGTACCCGTTTTTTCTAAACTAGAATACTTAATTGTAATTACAGCTGTTGTTATAAGCTAAGATATTTAAAAATATCACTTTGTGATAAATGTATCCCTTTTTATAAGCCAGAATAGTTAATAATAAATGTATCTGTGTTTTGAAGACAGGGTATTTGATAATTCACATTGGTAATAATGAATGACTCGAGTTATTAACGAAGGGTTGTTAACAATTCAATTTGCTAATAATGAAATTACCTATTTTTACAATGCAGTATGGGTATCAACTCACTTTGTTAATAACGAGTGTACCTGTTTTTCAAGCCAAAGTATTTAATAATGCATTGTGTTAATAATGAATATACCCATTTTTGTCAGGCAGAATAGTTAACAATTCTCTTTGCTCATAATAAATGTACCTGTTTCGTAAGCCAGAGCAGCTAATAATGAATGTACCTGTTGTTTTAAGGCAGATACCAATATTGTTATTAATGATAGTAACTGTGTTTTGTAAGCCAGATTACTTAAAAATGAAAGTACCCGTTTTTGTTTTTGTAAGCAGGTATAGTTAATAGTTAATGCACTTATTTTTGTAACATAGAATTGATAATAATCAATGATCCTACATACTTAAGCCCGAATAGTTACTAATTCGCTTTGTTGTTAATGTAAACCCGAATAGTTACTAATTCACTTTGTTGTTAATATAAACCCGAATAGTTACTAATTCATTTTGTTGTTAATGTAAACCCGAATAGTTACTAATTCGCTTTGTTGTTAATGTAAACCCGAATAGTTACTAATTCACAAAAAAACAAATTTGGGGTTAATTCTATAGAAAAAGAAATATCTCGAAAAACACATTAAAAAGCAGATAAGGCTCATTAGTAACTATTCGGGCTTACATTAACAACAAAGTGAATTAGTAACTATTCGGGTTTACATTAACAACAAAGTGAATTAGTAACTATTCGGGTTTATATTAACAACAAAGGAGAAATTCAGAAGTTATTCAAAAAACGTCTTCATTTTTAATATACAAGACGAAATTCATACACTTTGATCTTTTTACAAAATATTATAGCTTAAATAACTTGATATGAAATCAGTTAAAGGTCGTTGTGAAGTTTTAAAATTTGACATCTTAAGCCACACGGAAAATATCATATCTAGTTTATCAACTTATTTGTTATTGTTGGAAACAAGGTTACATAGGATTCACCAAGAACTGGCTGGAAAGAAGTGTCAAAAAACATGCAAATTAGAAAACGCCGAAATAGATTAAACATATTGGAGCATGCTTTAAATTAAACATATTGGAGCATGCCTCAGGTGAACGTGATGTGGTCATCCGTTCAAATTACACAGGCCTGCGAATTTAAACTTCATAAAAGTTGTTTTTGGTATTGAGATCAGATTCAGAATCAGATGAAACAGTATCAACAGTCTCTGGTGGAGTAGGTACAGGTACATCAGGTCCATGAGCAACAGGTCTTATAGCAGATTGAGCAACAATGGCAGTCATCTCCATGGTTTCTAGGCTCACGCCAGACCATTGGAATTCCAAAAGGCAAACACTTTTTCTTACCTTTAGTCCATTGCCTCATCTCTTTCACACAAACCGTGCAAACTTTGTGTGGAGACCATGAGTTGTCTTAGTCCCCAAGTTTTATTCCAAAATACGCTTTTTTGACGAATTCTGTAATGTTTTGCCTTCGTTTCTTTACAACAAATTTACCACAAATATAACAAAATATGTTTGGGTCATTTACACAACTTTTTCTTGCCATGGCGACGAATAAGTAATATTGAACATAAAAAAAATAATGTCAAGGTGCACGCATAAACAAATTCTATCCAAAAACGATACGTCATGCGGCCTGTTAATCGTATATATACTAGCGGTGTGTTTCTCGTGGGTTCTAAAACAATTGATAAGACCCTCACGTCGTGATTGGTCCAGAGAAATATATAGCCAGTGGTTGTCAACATTTTAATCATAAAAAAAATGTGATCCGATTTCAATGAAAGTTATTCACTTATGTGAAAGTACATATGACGTTTTGGGAAAAATCTGTACGTGATGGAGAAAAATTGATATCATTTTCGGATTCAGCGTACATGAATTACTGTAGAGCATGTAAAAATTTCAAAACAATAAAACCATTGCAGGCCTGTGTTACTTGAAAATATTAATGAAGACTAATGATTAACATAGCTTCATAAACAAAGGCCACAATTCAATCAACTCGGAGTAGGCTATAAATTGTTTCATATGCTATAGGCACATGCAGTATCAGGTATCGTTAATATAGTGTGTTCAGTTAATATAGTGTGTTCAACAATAACTTCTTACCTTGATATATCGTGTTTTCTCTCTTCCGTGTCTGGTATTCGAAATGAAGCTGTACAGTAGTAACACCGTTGATAAACAACTTATCCAGATCAGTCAGTTTGATAGATCATATGACAGCGTAGCATTATATGTTAACCTTTTTTTTTTCATATTAATAAAAATGGGTTATTATTGAGTAGATGTATATGATGACATTTCACTATAACATGGTGTAGTTTTCATTTTTATGTTCTTTCGTTCCAGAAGAGGATTTGATACTATTCAGCTACTCTTAGCATTAAAGTTTCCTTCACACTTTGGTGAGAGCTTGGAAACGACAATAAAGAACTCGTATTTGTTAACAAAATCCATTCATGTTATTAAAGGAACGTAACATACATAAAATAAAATAATAACGTTTGACGTGTTTTATTAAAACAAATGATGTATAACAAGAAAGACGACATGTATTAAAAAATAATAATGTCATGTTAATACCCTACTTTTAGAGTAATAGTTTGAACTAGCCGTCCTTACCCGGCGTTGCTCGGGTATTACCTAAACAGTGGGCCGATGTTTAGCTATTTGTAAACATAAAGGATCAAAATTTCGCTTACCATGTAACAATAGATATCAAATGGTCATACTTCTGTCAGATAAATGGCTTAAGACTGTAAAAGTTAAATAAATGAAATCATAGATTTGGTGTATAGTTCACTCCACCCTCTTTAACAGTCATTGCAATGTCGCTGTCACCTTTGTAGCATACGTTTTGTTACTCGTGCTTGGCAATCATAATTGTTTTATCTTTTTCTCGACATTTTACTCTGAGGTACATAATCAGCGTCAGAAATGTTTATCAAACCTAACTCCCCTTCCAAAATAAAGTGTTTTTTGTTTGTAATTAAGCACAAAGCTACACAATGGACTATCTGTGCTCTGCCTACCACGGGTATCGAAACCCGGATTTTAGTGTTGAAAAACAGACACAAACTTAACATGATGAAAGTTTTGCGTCATTCGTATCTCCTTCAAAAGAGTTTTTATCAGTTTGAAAACTAGAAATTTTATTTGTTTAAACATACAATCACTGAAAAACTATTAAATGATAAAAATGCAAAAATGTCATTTTTATTACAGATTTTTTGATCGACATGTAAGTCGAATTTTTTCTTTATAAGACATTATTTGAAATGATAACTTTATAACGTAATTCCTTAACCTCACACATATATTTTGAAAACGAATAAACATTTAAATATATTCATTTCCGCCAATAATATGAATTCTAACGCTTTTATGCGTGTTGTTTTAACTGTTGTTAGAAAACTGTTATTGTTGTAAATTATTGGCGGATATGATAATATGAATTCTAACACTTTCATGCGTGTTGTTTTAACTGTTGTTAGAAAACTGTTATTGTTGTATGTTATTGGCGGATATGATAATATGAATTCTAACACTTTCATGCGTGTTGTTTTAACTGTTGTTAGAAAACTACTAATATACAACAATAATTCATATTATCATATCCGCCAACTGTAACACTTTTATGCATGGTTTATTTTACAAAATACAGAACAATAACAATTTTGTAACAACAGGTTTTAAAAAACCTTGTGGAAATTAAAACTAAACTGTTATTCAGCCCTCGATTTAACAATCAATCTCTTAGCTAGCCAAACTATTCAACATACTTTGTAATTTAGAATCAAAGACAATATTTTTCCACTGTTTTGTTTGCAGCCTTTTCCCATACTTAATTCAATTCAAGGTTTTGAGAGCAATAATATTAATTTTAATTTTTAAATTCTATTTTTTCTTATTTTCTCTAATACAGATGGAAAATAATTTCAACTTTATTTTCTTTTCTTTTGCCTAGCCGGCCCAGCAGTCGGCACTGTTGCCGATGTCATTTCCTGAATTTAAAAAAGTAGAATGCAAAATTATATATTCAAATTTTGTAAAATAGACTTTAATTTCCGAGTGTTTCTATGTAATTTGAGGCCGATAGTCCTCGAATTGTGTGAATGCGAGGAAAATTGAAAACTTCCAACTCTGTCGTGTTTTCATGCGCCAAAATCCTTTAACTGTTTTCTTTGATGTAATTTCCCGACCTTTATTTATTTTAACCTATTCTAGTATTCTCAGGGTCTGTTTCATGGGTCCTGGGAGGACATGATGCCTTTGACTGGCTAAGAAACGTTTGGCCCCATATCTTATTGAATTTTGTTCATTTTTGATAAAATATGCCCATTTTTTCCCTAAATGTTTGGCAAAATTTTATATCTTTTTGACTATTTTGTTCATTTTCAACAGCATCTGGCAGAAAATTTCAACATATTGTTCATTCAGTAACAATGAGAATTAGGAACAAAAACATGATACTTTTCTATAGACCTTCAGGAAGCAGAATTATTGAGCTTAAGGGCTATAGGGCAAGAAATTGGCAAATAGTTTTTTGAGCCATATCTAAAAAATAATACCCAGGTGCACACCCTCAGAATCCCTACAGTTTCAGGTCTCTGGGTTCTTTCCTCTTGGAGCTATGGAGGTCATACACAGAGAGAGAGACACAGGCTCTTTTATTATTATAGATGTGTTCAAATCTTCTTTAGTATACACTAGAACTAAAGTAATTAACTTTTTTGGTTTGTCTGTTGTTAAATGCAAACTTACAAAATGGGCTAACTGCGTTTGTATCCACCGCATGGAATGAAATCCTAGATTTTAGCGCTATAAACCCTCAAGCTTACTGGGGAAACTTTTATGAAACATTAATTTGTAGAATAGGACTAGTAGTAGTTGTGCTAATTTCATCGACTATACATTTATCATAAATAAATTTAGGAATCTAAGCTCTTAGTAACAATTTTTTTATTCTTTATGCTGTTTATAATATCTACTAGAAATAATATATGTCATACTAATGAGATTCTTAATTACATACAGATGACA